TATGGGAGGTATGGGGGTGATGCAGGAGCCTCACCTGCAACGACCCCAAACAACACCACATTTCCAGGCTGAGTAATGGGGGAGAGGGCGAGGGAGGGCACCAGGTGCCTGGCGAGGGAGGGCACCAGGTGCCAGGCGAGGGAGGGCACCAGGTCCCAGGCGAGGGAGGGCACCAGGTGCCGGGTGAGGGAGGGCACCAGGTCCCAGGCGAGGGAGGGCACCAGGTGCCGGGTGAGGGAGGGCACCAGGTGCCAGCCGAGAAGAAGCCTCTCAGGAATTCCTGGCCCCTGTCTGACCTGGTCCTTCCCCCAGGTGGGTGTTGACAGGGAGGAAGACCCAGGGCCTAGGAAACGCTGCCCAGTACAAGCAAAAGTAAACCTGGACTGCAGCCCAAGGTGTCTGCGGTCACCGCCATGACACACAGAAGGTGGTGCTGGCCGCTAACCTCAGGGTGTTACCTTCTCGTCCTTCGATTCAGTCTCCTGAGTCATTTTAGTGCCTTGGTGACCAATGGGCTATGGTGACGAGGGGCCTAACTGTTGAAGTGAGAACAGGAGAGGAGTTTGTGGTGAGCGGGTAAAATCCCCAAATACGGTTACTTGGCTTGATCCAGTCCATATAGTGCCATCTTGATGAAGGAAACTATATTAGTATCTTCAATTAAGATATTTTTTCTTTTTAACAAAAAAATTATGTATCTATTTTATTTCATTGAATGTATTGGGGTGACACTGGTTAATAATATAGGTTTCAGGGGTACAGTTCTACAACACACCATCTGTATATTGTGTTGTGTGTTCCCCACCCCAAGGCGAGTCTCCTTCCATCACCACTTATTCCCCCTTCACCCTCTCCCCCCCCACCCCCTTCCCTCTGCTAATCGCCATTCTGTTGTCTGCGTCTATGAGGCTTTTTGTTTTGTTTTTGTTTTTGTTCTGCTGAAGCCTTTCACCTTTTTCACGCTGCCCCCTGACCCCATCCCCTTTGACAGCTGTCAGTCTGTTCTCTACCTATAATTCTGTTTCTGTTTTATTTGCTAGTTTGTTTTGTTCATTAGATTCCACCTATAAGTGAAGTCATACGGTATTTGTCTTTCCCTGACTGGCTTGTTTCACTTAACATGATACTCTCCAGGTCCATCCACGCTGTCGCAAAAAGTAAAATTCTCTTCTTTTTTTACGGCTGAGTCGTATTCCATTGTGTAAATGTACCACAGCTTTTTGAAAACTCAAAATAAGACGGATGCTTTATTTGGGGAGCTCTTGTCTAGGAAAATAAACATCACCAAGTTCTGAGTAGAGAAGGGAAAGATGACTACCATCTCCCATTCAGTCCAAACCCCGGGGGATTCATAGTCCAGCCCTGGGTGGAGAAAGTTATTTCCTCTTCATCACACCTAGTGTTCATCTGCCAGGGCTGCCTTAAGAAAGTACCACGAATTGGGGAGCTTAAACAATAACAACAGAAATGTATTGTCTCAACAGTTTGGAGGCTAGAAGTCTGAAATCAAGGTGTCCACAGGAAATCAAGGTGTTTAAAGACTGCAAAGAAAACCTGTTTCTAGCTTTGGTGGTTTGCTGGAAATCTTTGGCAACTTTCAGACAACCCAAGGATTTCTTATACTTACTTTTATTAACTCTTAAAATCCATACTTTTCTCTCTGTTCTATTGTTTCTTCTACAGCTGGTTTTTTTTTTTTTTTTTTTTTTTTTTTTTTTTTTTTTTTTTGTAGGGGATCCAAGAAGCTTATTCTTATTTACCATCCACCAGGAGCAAAAAAATCCCCTCAGACCTTCTTTCTCTACTAAGTACTATATCTATATTACCAAGAAGTAGCTAGAAGATACATTAGGAAGTAGGAGACCAGAAAAATTAGGTGCAACATATAAGTTCTGAGAAAACGTAAATGGCAACGAAATCTTCCATTTCTCCAAACTTTAGCAAGAGATACACTTAAGAGAAATCAGTATCAACCTAGAGAATGCCTCATCATGTGTATAATGAGGTATTAACAAGGTTTTAAATTGCTGCATATAAACATTAGCCAGAAAAATCCCGAACCCCGAAATATGATGGATTAGCTAAAATGAATGACGTAGATCTCTATATATACTGACTGGGAAGAATTAGTAAAGAATACCATTAAGTGAAAAGAGGTTGAAGAATCATTTGTTTAGTATAACATCATATATGGAAAAATAAACTGGCATCCACTAAACCGAACTGTGCATTTCTATATGTCTATGCATGCTATGGACTTCCATAGGAAAACGGTGGGAAGCAAACATGTGGACGTCTCTTTTTAAAATATTTTTTAAATTGATTTTTAGAGAGAGGAAGAGAGAGAGAGAGAAACATCGATGTGAGAGAACCATTGATCAGCTGCCTCCTGCACGCCCCCTGCTGGGGATCGAGCCCGCAGCCCGGGCATGTGCCCTGACCGGGAATCGAGCCAGGGACCTCTTGGTTCATGGGTGGATGCTCAACCGCTGAGCCACACCAGCCGGCCCATGTGGGTGTCTCTTAGAAGGAGAGTAGAACTGGCAGATGGTGGAAGGGCACTTTCACTTTATTTGTGTCGTTTCGTCTTTTTACAATGAAAATGGCAATTACTTAATTTTAGAAGTCGGTGAGGGACTTCGAATTTGGAAGTGACATTCATGGGGTATCTTCTTTCCTACAGAAAGAAAAAAGGTGTTTAAGGATGTCCTGTCCTGTTTGAACTTGGATAGGAGCAGGAAGCTCCTGCCCGATTTTGTTGAGCAGTTCTCCTTAGACCGGGGCTGTAAGTGGACGCCCGAGACTCCGGCAGACTTGGCCTGGAATTTCCTGATGAAAGTTCAAGCCCTGGACGTGGCGGCCAGAGACTCAAGCCTTGGGGACGGGGCTCTGAGTGAGGGTAGCCAGGGGGACCTGCGAACCGGAGCAGAGAGTCTGGAAATGAGGGGCGCACAAACCGTGAACCCCCTGGACGTGCTCTGCGCCTCTCTGCTGTGCTCCGACGGCGCTTTGCAGCGCACAGTCATGGCAGGCCTGCATCGGTGCCGGTTTGCCCTCCCTCTGCTCCTGCCAGATGCCGAGAACAACAAGAGCATCTTGCTGCTGGGGGCCATGCAAGGCATTGTGAAGGGGCAGCCGGCGCCGCCTTCTGGGGGGCCGGCGGGGGGCGCCCAAAGGCCCCTGACTCTCTGGAAGATGCCTGTCATCTCCTTCGTGCGTCTGGGAGACTGCAGCTTCTCCAAGTCCAGGATCCTCAACGCACTGCTGAGCCCGGCCCAACCGAAGCCGCACAGGACCTTCCTCCACCAGGACCTGCCTGCCCTGGCGCCCCCCCGGCGGATCTCCGACGGCCTGGTGGAAATCGCCTGGAGCTTTCCCAGTGGCCAGGGTCCAGAGGAAAACCCTCATCTTTTCCGAGAGCCAGTTGCCGTGGCCAACCTCCGTGGGGATCTGGAAAGTTTTTGGACACAATTTGGTTTCTTGGTGGAAGTTTCCTCCGCTGTGTTCTTCTTCACCGACTGCCTGGGTGAAAGGGAATGGGACCTGCTCATGTTTTTAGGAGAAGCTGCCATCGAAAGATGCTACTTTGTCCTCAGTCCCCAGGCCAAGGAGAGTGAAGAGGCTCAGATGTTCCAGAGGATTCTGAAGTTGAAGCCGTCACAGCTACTGTTTTGGGAGGAGGAGAGAGCTGGGGAGCAAGGGAGGAACATGAAGAGCCTCCGAGCTGCCCTGCAGGAGGTGATGTCCTTGTCGCTTAGACATGTGTCCGTGGAGGACATGGCCTCCCTGGCAAGGGAGCTGGGGATCCAGGTAGACCAAGACACTGAGGCCGTTCAAGGAATTCAAGTTGTCCCTGGTGAAAACGTGGCTGTAAGAGTTGAAGATGAAGGTCAACAAGGACGCAGCCAGCCAGAGAGCTCATCCGAAAGGCCCGCTGAGGTGCCTGAGAAAGAGCCTGGAGCTGGAGGCGAGCTCAGCCGGGCGCTTCAGGATTTCCACCTCGCCCCAGTATCCCTGCCTCCTCTGTACCACCCCTGTCCCTTCCCAATCGGGATGGGAGGCCACTTTAACCGCGTTCCTCTGAAAGCCCCTTGGGCTGCGGGCTTCCACCCTCGGCCACAGCAGAAGTGGTTCCGTCTTCCACCCTTCCGGAATTCAAGGGCCCATCATCGAGGCAGAAGTTTTGGGGCCCAGTACTTCCAGCCCCAGAGGTTTTGTTTAGGTGAAAGGTTTATGAAATTTTCGGGACCTGCTCGGGGACATCACATGGGTGGACTGTTTGTGAGACCACCAAGGCCCATTTGGCGGCACGTACAGGCCTGGCCTGGCAGACCGCAGACAATGAGAGCTTGTGATAGGTCTGCCATGGCCTCCCAGGTAGGTCACCTCCATTCACAGCCAGCAGGACCAGCTGGGAAGCCACAGCCGATGCCAGGCCACGGCCGGGGAACACAGCCATCTGAAGCAACTGGAAAAGTTGGGAGAACAGCATCCCGGGCTATGAATCCTCACTATCGAGCCTTTCAGCCAGCAGGAGTCATCCAAAGACCCCTAAGACCCGCCTTTCCGCAGGGATTCAAGCTGAAGACGCAAGGTGGGCCTTTAAATCCAGCTGGCCAAATGGGCCCCCATCCCATGTCCAACAGCAAGTTTACACCCAGCTCTCCATTCAGTCAGCCCAAGCCATCGCAAGGCAAGCATCCCCAGGCCAAGCCCCCCCAACCTGTGCCCTCTCAACCCAAGCCCACTCAAACAAAACCCACTCAGCCGCAGCCCTCCCAAGCTAAATGCCCTCCATCCAAACCCACTCAGGCCCAGCCATGCAGACCCCAGTCCTCCCGATCTACGCCTTCTCAGCCCAGACCTACTCAACCCAAGTCATCACCAGCCAGTTCTTCACAGNGCAGACCCCAGTCCTCCCGATCTACGCCTTCTCAGCCCAGACCTACTCAACCCAAGTCATCACCAGCTAAGGCCTCCTACCCAAGAGCAGGGCCCAAGAGAGGCGGGAAGCGTTAAAGTGCTGACTCCAGAGACCTGCGAAATGTGTCCGTTACTCAGGCCATTCTGATCACACAGTAGTAACCTGAAGAAGGGTGGCAGTGATGGGAAGAGATTCCTATCATCAGAAAAGGAGATATGCACAGCCTAATTGCATATCATTAAACGATCTGTGAGAATTGTGTCCCTAACAAAGAGGAAAAATACGAAAAGAATTTAGAACAGAATCGAGCAGTAAATAAATTAATTGAATCCTACCTTGAGTTGTAGGTAATATAAAACCTGAATCCGGGGAATGGCCTCACAGCCCCACTTGGGGGAAGAATGGGCTTGGAATCTCCATTTGCAAAGAGATCATAAACTAGGGCTCAGGTTGCCTCGGTGTTGCAAATAAAATTGCCTTAGATGTTGGCTGCTCCAGACGTGTCTTGGTCAAAATTTTTGGTTTAATATCAGCCACTAAGCAGACAAACCCTGTTTGTTTGGGATAAATCAGTTTGCTTGTGATTACAGCCTTAATTTGCTTGGATGGTAAAACTCTCTCATTTGACCCTTACATATAGAAATAATGAACTCTCGACCAGTAAAATTAATTATTTTTCATTAACTTTAAGAGTGATCTGTGTATGTTTCATATTTTAAATGTTTGTAATAAGTAAGATAATTTGGCGTATTCTTGGAGGATCTCCTATGTTAGTCTCATGATTTCAGTGCAAAATGTGTAATTTAAGTTTTTAATGTTAGAGTTGTTATTTTTTAAGATGAAAAGATTAAGATCTGTTTACAAAGTTTGTTAGAAGCATTGAAATATTTAAGAGAACTTAAAATTCACAGAATTTGCAATTTTAATTTATTGGATTTACTTTTGTCCCAAACATTTTGCTAAGTTCTGCTAGTTCAAAGCATTAAATAAAAGGACTATATTAATTTTAAATATCTATGTGAAGTTCTAATTAAGCTTGTGAATGATACCAAATATTAATAAAAGGTCACTTTTAAAGGTAAATGTTAAAATTTATTAGATAGAGATAAAATAAGATTATAAATTGAATTAGGAGCCCTGGTTTTTGAATTTGTAACTTTTAAAGCACTAAAATAGTTTCAAAGTTATCTTTTCTGAGTAAATAAAAAACGCCTTCAAGGACTCACGAAAAAATCATATTGACAAGTAGATGAGAAATGATCTTTGGAAAGGAGTAATTAATCTCTGAGAACATTCTCAGACTTCAGTAGGTCTCCTTCATGTGTCCGTGCATATATTAAACAGTCAGTCTTGAGTGTTTAGAGGGTGCTCAGTCCCTCTAAAGGTTTAGTAAGGGCAGAGAAAGACAAAGAGGCCTACGCATGTGAATTTTTATCTGGCGGGAGAAAGAGCATGCTAATTAGTTCATTACAGAATCTTTGGTGTACAAGTGGTGCCTGTCAACTGAAAATGACACTTTTGTTATTTAAGCTTTCGCAGCGAGCAGTAGTGTGATGCTTTTAAAACCTTCCTCCGAATCCTTCAAGATTAGCTCCTGGAGGGTGGCACTTGCTGGGTTGTCGCCAACAGAGTCAGTATCTGCCTGGGTCTTGACAGTATGTACATGGTATGTTCAAATCGGACAATTTGAGGAGTTTAATAAAGGGGCCATTTATAAAAGACTGAGCAAGAAAGCGATTCGTCAATGAACTTACATGCATAGCCCATAGACAGACAATAGTTTAGGGAAGGCCTGGAGAAGGGGCCAGAGTGGGGTGGAGGGGGCCAGTGGTGGGAGAAGGGGGACATCTGTAATACTTCCTTTTTAAATATATCTTTATTGATTTCAGAGAGAGGAAGGGAGGGGGAGAGAGAGAGAGAAACATCAATGCTGAGAGTCATTGATCGGCTGCCTCCTGCATGCTCCTTGCTGGGGATCGAGCCCACAACCCGGGCGTGTGCCCTGACCGGGAATCGATCCTCGATCTCCTGGTTCATGGGTCGGCGCTCAACCGCTGAGCCACGCCAGCCAGGCCTGGGGAAACATTTCAATATCGCTGCTGGAGTAGGGGCATGTAATTGGTCTGTCATGCAAAGCCCGATTGGGAAGGGAGTGGAGAATGCGATGTGACCAGCTGCAGGGCTGTTTCTAAGCAGAGTTTTTCAGGGTGATGAAGGCTGGCTCCTCAGATGACAACTGCGAATGGACTGGGCAGCAGCCAGTCAGCAGATGGGGGAGTTGGCCTCAGGAGTGCGCAGAGGTCCCCTGGGTGTTGGGGCACAGGAGCTGAGAGGGGGTAGATGCACCATGAGAGTGTGGAAGTCCTCTCACAATGGGTGCCGTTTTACCAGTGAAATAAGGGACTCGTTGGTTAAGAATGAGTGTGGGGCAGTAGATGCTGGAGGCCTGAGGGGAAAAGTGACCATGAGACAGTTTTGCACAACTCTTCAGTGTAAGGATTCTTGGATTCTTTTACTCTAAGTTACACTCATCAACTTTCCCCATTGTGGCCCCTACCTAACCCTAGCATCCCAGTTATTAATATTAAGTAGAAAACGGTGAAGAAAGATTCACACCACCACCAGTGAGACAGGATGTCATGGGGGCAGTGACGCAAGATGAACTGCAGCTAAGCCCAGCATCCTTCCTACTAAGCCTTTCCGGCTGAATGACGAGGCCTGTTTACTTTCCATGACCCAAGGGTGCCATCTAGCGACCACGCTGGCACCTGACGAACACGGAGGCGTTCCCCCAAATGAGAGAACATAAATTTTGTTTTTATACTTAAAAAATAAGAAACCTTTTTTATAGGTTTGATGAAATTCGAGATACATAACATTCACTCTGCAACATCTTGAGCCCATATAGCCCTCTATCCCCTCCACAATGATCGATAAATGAGTTTTTCAAGAAATATGCACATGCGAATGTGAGCCAAAGAAAAATTTTAGCAAAATAGTTTATCCAAAGGTATCCTTCTAACGATACACAGCTTTGGTGCTAGACTCCCTGAGAACAATAAAATCAACTTGCAAACACTTGGTCTAGAATGAACCTGATTAATAATTAATTACCAACTATGTGGCATTAGATTATTATGGGCCTGTGCAGACAGTCATTGGGGGACCTAGGGTTACTTTACTAATGTATATTTACATGATCTAAAATGAGAATGTGCAGGCTTATCGAAGCACCAAGACCCTTTTCTCTACATTGACATTACATCAACCAGCACAGCTCACAGCAATGAGAACATCCAATTAACAGTTGCATTATTATAACTTTGATTGACAAAAAGTGAAGCCAATTATGTTGATAAGTGCTTTTATTGCCAAAAAAATATTTCAAAACATGTGGCCTCAAGTCAGGGTGAAATGAAGAGGGCACCTCACTTGTGAAAACGTCGGGAAGAACTTGGCAGAGCACTTAACACTTCATGTAGAGTTGACAGAGATCGGCGGCTTCTCTCAAGACTCAAATGGGTCCATCCACGCTGTCCCAAAGGGTACTAGATCCTTCTTCTTTACAGCTGCATAGTATTCCTTGGTGTGAATGTGCCACAGCTTTTTTATCCACTCATCTACTGAGGGGCACTTGGGCTGTTTCCAGATCTTTGCTATTGTAAACTGTGCTGCTATGGACGTCGGGGTGCACATATCCTTTCTGATGAATGTTTCAGGATTCTTAGGATACATTCCTAGGAGTGGAACCACTGGGTCAAATGGCAGCTCCATTTCTNGGGCACTTGGGCTGTTTCCAGATCTTTGCTATTGTAAACTGTGCTGCTACGAACGTCGGGGTGCATATATCCTTTCTGATGAATGTTTCAGGATTCTTAGGATACATTCCTAGGAGTGGAATCACTGGGTCAAATGGCANCCCAGTCTGCATTCCCACCAGCAGTGCACTAGGTTCCCCTTTCCCCACACCCTCGCCAGCACATGTCGTTTGTTGACTTGTTGATGGAGCCGTTCTGACAGGTGTGAAGTGATGCCTCATTGTGGTTTTAATTTGCATCTCTCTGATGATTAGCCACGTTGAGCATTTTCTCGTGTCTCTTGGCATCCGTATGTCCTCTTTGGAGAAGTGTCTATTCA